CTTCCGGTTTCGTCCCGATTCCGTATATGATCTAGTGCCGACCATGGACTCATGGACAGAACCATGGACTTGTGTTCAGGACCATCTCCCGCGTTTCTCCCGTGTTTTTCCAGTGTCTCCCCCGTGTGTCCTCCCGAAGTGCAACCAAAACTCCAAAATTTACCCCATTAAAGGTCTGACACACCTGGTAAAATAGACCTGTAAATTCTATGGCCGAATTTAGAACCACCCTCCAAAACCTGAATTTTCCTGAAATTCAACGTCTACTAAATGATTGATATCTCGGCCTCTGTAGCAGATAGAAACATAATTTGAAAAGAATTTGAGAGCTGACACTTGTGGCTTTCAATAAGAATGCAGTGTATTATTATAAACCTTCAGTAGAAGAATACAAAAAATATACAACTTCCACACAGGAAAGGTAATAAAACAACCAAAAATATCCTCATACCGGTCACATAACCGTGAAACAGAAGAGCTGTTGTCGGGACATTGAAGTACTAGTGGTTGGCATTCGCCCTACTATCTCCCACAGGAGTTCTCTCACATCGCCGCCATTATTGTTTACATTCCTCCTCGTGCTGAGCCGGAAACTGCGGTCACAGTAAATGGACAGGACATTGAAGTGGTTCACGCCTATAAATATCTGGGAGTCCACCTGGACCACAGACTGGACAGGTCAGCTCAGGCCAATTCCATCTACCATCAAGAAAGGTCAGAGCAGACTTTTCATTCTGAGTAGACTGAGGTCCTTTGATTTGAGCAGTCAAATGTTGCACATTTTTTACCAGTCTGCAGTAGCTAGGTGCCGTGTTCTTCGGGGTTGCGTGTTGGTGCGGTAGTTTGACCTCGAGAGACAGTGACCGCCATGACAGGCTGATCAGGAAATGTGTCTCTGTGATGGGGACAAGTGTGGACTGTGGGAGTTGTGCTGGAAAGAAGGATGAGGACTCTAATGCTGGATAACTCCTGGGTAACTCCAGACACCCTCTGCATGACACTATGGCCGCTCAGAGGAGTAATCAAAGCAACAGGCTCCTATCACTACGCTGCCGAACGGAACGTTTCAAGAGATCCTTTGTTCCTTCGGCTGTCAGACTGTATAACAAACCTGGATGAGTAATCTGCTGCTGAATTTCTCCTACTTGGGATTAATAAAGTATCCATCCATCCATCCCTCCATCTGTATTGAGAAATATTAAACAAAGCTTAATGTCAAGGCCTGGATTTAAGCACATTGATGAGAATGACTTTGTATTGTAAATATAGGCTACAAAGTATATATTCTTACATTTTCTCCCGGTGATGTGCCGTGAGATTGGAAAAAGTGTGCCTTGGCTCAAAGAAGGTTGAAAAACACTGCCCTAGATAGATAGTTAATTGATCCCCCGTAGAAGAAATTCAGAATGCAACAAAAACACGTCCATAAATTCTAAAAAGCTAACAATAGTAATAATAAAATGCAACAGCAGCAGAGGTGGAGCAGCCGCTGGGGGTGGAGCAGGACAGGTCTCAGAAGCAGAGGTGGAGTAGCCGTTGGGTGCAGCAGGACAGGTCACAGCAGCAAAGGTGGTGTAGCCGCTTGGTTTGGGAGCATTTTCTCTGCTCCAAAGTAAAAATGCTGAATGCTTCAATAGCATTTTTCAACAAGTTAGCATTCCTCCAATGGATTGACGCCTAATCCCCTTGTTTCAGACCATGAATCCTCTCCGCTTCGGTATGTACCAGTGCAAAACCATGAACGCTGTACTACAGCAACATTTCAGGTAGAAAAAATAAAGAAAAATAACAATTGTAAAGCAAAAAACAGTTTCAGAGGGACTTGAAACAAGACTTGCTGTCCTTTCCAGCGCATTCAAAAGTAAACAATCCAACAATCCCTATGCAAAAATTATAATAGATCTATGACTTGTACACATTGGTCCTCATTTATGAAACTTGCTTACGGCCAAATCAGGGTGTAAATGAGGCGTACGCAAAAAATTTAAACTTTTCGGCATTTATCAATCTGGACGTAAGCGTACGGTACCCACAGAATATACGCCAAGTCTGGAGGTGGTGTAATTGTGTACGCTCATCTCAACCTTCATCACAACACGCCAAAACCCGCATGAAATTCAAGATTTGGACAGCAATAAATACATTCCCACTCTAAAAAACTCTAATGGAAACACGTAAACTTCGAATAAATCACATTTCATGATTTACTTTTTTTAATCTGACTTGTGTATTATTCTGTGTACATTTAAAAATGTGAAGCGATTTGTGATCCTGGTCTGTGAAAGGCGCTATACAAATACACTTTACTAACTCAATAACTTACGCTTCAGGATGTGAGACCCATCTATTATCTACAGTGCCTTGCGAAAGTATTCGGCCCCCTTGAACCTTTCAACATTTCGCCACATTTCAGGCTTCAAATATAAAGATATAAAAAAAAATTTTTTTTGTCAAGAATCAACAACAAGTGGACACAATCATGAAGTGGAACGAAATTTTTGGGATAATTTAAACTTTTTTAACAAATACAAAACTGAAAAGTGGGGCGTGCAATATTATTCGGCCCCCTTGCGCTAATACTTTGTAGCGCCACCTTTTGCTGCAATTACAGCTGCAAGTCGCTTGGGGTATGTCGCTATCAGTTTTGCACATCGAGAGACTGGAATTCTTTCCCATTCTTCCTTGCAAAACAGCTCAAGCTCAGTGAGGTTGGATGGAGAGCGTTTGTGAACAGCAGTCTTCAGCTCTTTCCACAGATTCTCGATTGGATTCAGGTCTGGACTTTGACTTGGCCATTCTAACACCTGGATACGTCTATTTGTGAACCATTCCATTGTAGATTTGGCTTTATGTTTTGGATCATTGTCCTGTTGGAAGATAAATCTCCGTCCCAGTCTCAGGTCTTTTGCAGACTCCAACAGGTTTTCTTCCAGAATGGTCCTGTATTTGGCTCCATCCATCTACCCATCAATTTTAGCCATCTTCCCGGTCCCTGCTGAAGAAAAGCAGGCCCAAACCATGATGCTGCCACCACCATGTTTGACAGTGGGGACGGTGTGTTCAGGGTGATGAGCTGTGTTGCTTTTACGCCAAACATATCGTTTTGCATTGTGGCCAAAAAGTTCGATTTTGGTTTCATCTGACCAGAGCACCTTCTTCCACATGTTTGGTGTGTCTCCCAGGTTGCTTGTGGCAAACTTTAAACAAGACTTTTTATGGATATCTTTGAGAAATGGCTTTCTTCTTGCCACTCTTCCATAAAGGCCAGATTTGTGCAGTGCACGACTGATTGTTGTCCTATGGACGGACTCTCCCACCTTATCTGCAGTTCAACCAGAGTGATCATGGGCCTCTTGGCTGCATCTCTGATCAGTCTTCTCCTTGTTTGAGATGAAAGTTTGGAGGGACGGACGGGTCTTGGTAGATTTGCAGTGGTTTGATACTCCTTCCGTTTCAATATAATTGCTTGCACAGTGCTCCTTGAGATGTTTAAAGCTTGGGAAATCTTTTTGTATCCAAATCCGGCTTTAAACTTCTCCACAACAGTATCTCGGACCTGACTGGTGTGTTCCTTTGTCTTCATGGTTCTCTCTGCGCTTTAAACAGAACCCTGAGACTATCAAAGAGCAGGTGCATTTATACGGAGACTTGATTACACACAGTTGCATTCTATTTATCATCATCGGTCATTTAGGACAACATTGGATCATTCAAAGATCCTCAGTTAACTTCTGGAGTGAGTTTGCTGCACTGAAAGTAAAGGGGCCGAATAATATTGCACACCCCACTTTTCAGTTTTTTATTTGTTATTTGTTATTTGGTGGTGGATAAGGGACAAAAAGGATGCAAGAAACGCGTTTTCGTTTCACATGACAAGTTGGAAGAAAGAACCATGGAGGACCACAGTTATGTAAAACAGTCTCAGGATGTTCTGACCCGATTTGAGCGCAGTCCAACTACTATGTCACAAGTTTAACTAAACTTATTAAGGGAAAAAGCCTCAAATAAAACACACACAGAATCCTCACAAAACAATCGCCAGATTATTTTATCAGCAGCGTGAGTGAATGTTCTGGTTTCTTACCGTAATGCAGATGTAGCGCTGTGGCTAACGCTAATGCTAACATTAGCTTTTAGCCATGTCCTGCCGCGGCTCTGTATACAGTATCTCCTAAGAGACTGCAATTTAAGATCTCAACGCTAGATGGCACTAAAAATTACACAGTGTACCTTTAAGTTACTTTCTCCAAATATATATAGTAAAAAAAAAAAAGGATTAGGATTAAATCATTTCATGTTCAATTATTATATTTCAATTTCAGTCTAATAATCGAAGGGGTTGTTAAACTTGGGGTAAACTGGTTAATGATGGTTTAGGTTCAGTCCTGGCTCAGTCCTGGCTCAGTCCTGGCTCAGTCCTGGTTGATCTGGCTCAGTCCTGGTTCAGTACTGGTTCACAGCAGCTCACTGCTTTATTACTAAACATGACGGAAGAGCATCATGCTTGCCGCTTGACTTTGTAGAGAGTCATGTCTTTGTGAAAACTGACTCTTTTTGAACGCTTTGAAGATCAAACCAGAGCTTAGACTCTCATCTGTCCATAGGCTGCATGCCTCTGTTCGTACCTCACCTTTGAGCCCGTTTTTCATTCTCTTCTTTTCTTCTACGTTGATTGGCTGCACCTGACGGCTTGGACTGCTTTTTCATCGTAACGTTGACCAAAAACACGTCCACCTATCTTTCACACATTCTGGGATGCGCGAGGCTGCCCGTCACCCACCTACTCATCTTGGCCTAACAAGAGTGCAGCCTACAGCTGCAGAGTTCAATGATGACAATTTTTATTGAGTTTATAGTAGACATAAATTGTTTTTTTCAATCTTACGTGATGGGAAACACTTAGCAGAATAATAAAAAAAAAAACTATTTTTGATTTTATGTTTTTTAAGACTGCAATTTTGCGCCCCATCCTGCAGATCCTATACAGGATCCAGGGCATCCTAGGCCCTGGGCCGGCCCTGCATACGAGGAGTGAGCGACAGCACAGGAATCTCACATGAGTTGGCTGGATTGGAAATGCTGCGTGGAACTACGAAAAGCGAGGACTTGTCTGCTGCCGTCGCTCAGGTGCTAGTGAGGTACAATTTGAGCCAAGAGAAAATGGTTGGAATAACAACGGACGGTGCCCCTGCCATGATTAGTAGAAAAGCCGGCCTTATAACACTTGTTGCTCAGAGAGTTGCAAAATACGGAGGTGAGCCGACACAATACCACTGTATCATGCACCAAGAACAGCCGTGTGGCGTGTGCCAAATCTATTGGACTTGGAGACGTTGTGCGCAACATTCATTATAATCATAAACGGCATACAATCCAAGGCTCTTTCACACCGCTAATTCAGAGCCCTTTTGGAAGAAGTCGATGTGCTGTAACATCAAGAAGTTCGCTAGCTCAGCAAGGGAAAAATTGGGCCTGCTCAACTCACTGAATGTTCAGCTTCAAGACAAGGAGCAGATTATCACGGAGCTATTTGACCATGTAAGTAAGTAAGTAAGTAAGCAAGCAAGCTTTATTTATATACCGCCTTTCACAGACCAGAGTCACAAAGCGGTTTACAATTGTTATTTTTGGGCACTTGTCCTCTCACTCCACACAGAGATGGGAGCGGGGTCGCCGAACAGGAGGCGCATACCAGACCTATTGTACATACGTTTTGTGGTAGGGGAAACCGGAGTACCAGGAGGAAACCTACGCAGACTCAGGGAGAACATGGATTCGAACCCAGGACCTTCTTGCTGAGAGGCGAGAGTGCTATCCACTCAGCCACCGTGCCGCCCAGATATGTGATGCCTAATGCATCATAAAGATATGCAATGCATCAATAATCGTTTTATAATCAAATCGCAGCCTCTGAATTGAAATCGAATTGTGAGATGCCCCAAGATTCCCACCCCTAATAAATAGTAAACTTTTTAATGTGGTAAGCTCTGGCCAATGGGGCTAAATGTTCTCCTAAGACCGTGTTTCTAAGAAATTTAAAACAGTAAATTAAAGCCGCAAGCGGCGTCGAACGGCCCTCGCCGCACCGCGTGCACCACCCCGCACCAAGCCGCCACGCATCAAGCCGCCCCGCACCAAGCCGCCCCGAATTAAGCCACCCCGCCACGCACCAAGCCGCCATGCATCAAGCCGCCCCGCACCAAGCCGCTCCGCACCAAGCGGATCTGCACCACGCCGCCCTGCACCAAGCCGCAACGCGCCGCTCCACAACCCCCCGGCACTACGCCGCACCACACCGTACCACGCAGCACCGTGCAAAAGGAGGTGGGGCCGCCGTGTGATGATTTGTTGCCGTTGCCATAGAAGAACGTTAGTCAAATTGTAATGAATATGATGATTAGAGCTGTTTGGCACCCCATGTAAAACTTTGCCTCAATCTGTAGGGAGCGCTATTGGGCCAATTTCAAATATTTCACTTTCACCTGAAATAAACCCTGGAGTTGAACATTTGATTAAAGTTTTGTGCAAATCAGACTTTGCTTGTGCAAACGGGAGCAAAATTAATGTTGTGAAAAACGGCCAATAAACACACTCATTTTGCCGCTCGGCTGCTCAAACAACCTTTCACTGATCAAAAATCCTTTTGGTCGTTTTGAAAGTTAATGTGTTGAGATGATCTGAAACGATTTTGAGGCAAATCGGTGAAACGGCCGAGGAGGAGTCGCTTTCCAACCAACATGTATGAAAAGGATTGCGGATCATTTTTCCATTTTGCAGTGAAATTTATGGGCCTCCTGTTTGTCAGAGGGCGGAGCCATGATAACATTTTGGTCGTATCTTTACTTGAGGAACATGTGTACTGAATTTCATGGCTCTACGACAAACTTCACCTCTGAAACTCCCATTGGCTGTTGTAGGTGGCGCTGTTCTAGCATTTTTTGAGTCCCATAAAAATAAACACCAAAATATCAAATTTTTCACCAGGTCTGATGTTTGGGCAAAATGTTACAACTTTTCATGCATGTTCAGGGGGTGAAATCAAGGCTCAAAGTGCAGTATTTGACATCTCTCGAGCAAAAACAATAGGCCCTTTCCCCGTTCGGGGCTCGGGCCTAATAACCAGCTATATTTCATTCTTATAGATGCTGGGTGTGGTTTTCAGCGCAAATCCAGTAGTGACTTGTGGCCTCACTCACCCCGGCCGGTGTAGTCCCAAAGGGCCAAAGGGGTCGAAGCGCGCTCCTGGGGGAACAGCTCCAGGCGGTAGGATGTCAGGGATCCCGCTGGAGGGGTCAAACCCAGAGCGAGGGTAGCCAGAGTGGAGAGGGTCCATGATCATGCCCCCAGGGCCACGCAACCTGGCAAAAGCATAAGAAAACCAATATTACAATATTAAAAAAACAACATTGCGTAAAGACCAAGGCCATCGACCAATCTAGTCGATGACAAAGAAGCCATCTTCCCGTGGACCCACCACCTGCAGGAGGATCAGCGAGGGACTGGTGCTATGAGACTTGGGTATTGTATGATTAAAATACAAAATTAAAACAGTGCTATTAAAATTGAGATACAATTTATTTTCCTTTAGGTCATGACAAAGTCACAATTTAATACAGATCACATACAATAGTTCAGGGTGAAAGAGTGTGGGTTTGTGAGTGTGACCGCGTGTGGCGTGTTCATTAACATGCACTGTCCCAACCAAGTAATAAAATAAGATAAGATAGACTTTATTGATCTCACACAGGAGAAATTTACATGTCACATCTGGCATGGATACAAATGCAGGATATACTATGTACAATAAAAAGTGGCAATCCAAAGTGGCAATCCAGAAACAGTGTCAATAGTAGTGCAGGGTGTCTCAGTCTTCCACTGAGAGAGCTCCTCTACAGTCCTGTGCAGTGGTGGGAGGTGTTATCCACGATGGAGGTGACTTTGACTAGCACCCTGCTGTCCCTCACCTCCTCCACAGAGTCCAGGGGGCAGCCCAGAGTGGAGCTGGCCCTCCTGACCAGCTTGTTCAGTCTACTCCTGTCCCGCTCTGTGCTGCCCGGGGCCCAGCACATGGCAGCGAGGAGTGGATGTAAACAAGACCACTTTCAGACGCAGCACCCGCTGCATTTTTTGAGTTTTACCATGGATCTATTATAATATATAGTTTTACAAATGGGGTGTGAAGAGAAAAGATGCATGGAGGAATAACGTCTGTGGGAGCTTAAAACATCTATGATCAAAGAAGCAGGAGATGTACAGAGCATGACGTGGCTCGCATTAGCCACAGCGCCCTATCTGCATCACGGTAAGAAACCAGAACATTCACTCACGCTGCTGATAAAGTAATCTGGCGATTGTTTTGTGGGGATTCTGTGTGTGTTTTATTTGAGGCTTTTTCCCTGAATAAGTTTAGTTGAAACTTGTGACATAGTAGTTGGACTGCGCTCGGAGCAGGTCAGAACATCCTGAGACTGTGTTGCAGATTCTGCCTCGTTCTCATTATTGTCAGTGTGAAAAAGTGACGTATTATTCTGTTGTGTACAAACTACACAATGTGCCTCCTGTTGTGTTAACGCTGTCTTTCGGTGCGTGTGGTTTGCAATGTTGATACTTTGCTGCTATGACGCTGGACATCTGCATAGTTATTTTATTTATTTATTATCAGTAGCCAGTGTTGGGCACGTTACTTTGAAAAAGTAATTAGTTATAGTTACTAGTTACTTCTCCCAAAAAGTAACTGAGTTACTAACGGAGTTACTCCACTATAAAAGTAACTAGTTACCAGTAAAAGTAACTATTGCGTTACTTTTTCGTTTTGTTCTGGAACATAATGTGCACCCGACGTGCGCATTTTTACCTTTAACAGTGCCAATATTTCCATCTAGAAAAGTCTGTTTTGCTGCTGAAGTCCTGTTCACTCTTCATCTCTCACTGTGCACTAAGCACTAAACACCAACACCCGCCACTGTGAATGTGGAAACACCGGTGACGAGCGGTGAGGCTGGTGAAGCACTGACTTCAGTCCAATCAGATGAACATATACATCATATAAATCAAGTGGACAATTTGTTTGGCTACAGCAAAATATGTTTTATGCCCGCATTGTTTGTTCATACAAAACGCAAAACTATGAGTTATGGGTCTTACCTTATAGCTATACCTTATAAATGACCTGCACAGTCCACTTCGGTTCAGACCAGTTCCTTGTTTAAATCCAGTTAATGGTTTGAGCGTAGATATGTAATCCTCCATTTGGAAATGAGTCCAATGAGTTTTAAAAAGTAAAACAAAACGCGTGTGTCCTCCATAAACTCCTGTGTTTTGCTAGCGGCAGCCGAGTGCATCCAATTTCTAAAATCAACCGTCTTACACTTAGCCTCTCTTTCTTATCATTCCTATAGTAATTGAAAAATTACCCTATGTGCATTTTATATTATGTAAATATGTGTTATATGTATGTTAGCCAAACCTGTTGCTGTCCTTAGCAGATAAACCAGGAAGAGCAAAGAGCTTATCGATGGAATTGTATGCAGCCGACTTCTGCGCTCACACGCGCTACTCTATGGCTGACCTCGCGGTGATACAAGCCGTGGTTGAGCGCGATTAAGACCCATATTTGTTTCAAAAACACAATTTATGAGCCATCCTCTCAACTGTAGACATGTGGATTGTAAAGGAAATATGTTTTACATCAGCCAATAATTGCTGAGAGGTTTTCTCATCCTCCCTTCTCTCATGACAACACGTTCATTGTGCGTCTTGAGTAACGCGCAGTAACGGGATGTCGGAAATGATAACGGCGTTATAGTTACTGTCAAAGTAATTAGTTAGATTACTCGTTACTGAAAAAAGTAACGGCGTTAGTAACGCCGTTATTCCCATCACTGTCAGTAGCTCATGTGAAACAAAAAAAACGTTTCTTGCATCCTTTTTGTCCCTTAGCCACCACTGTTTTCCAAGATGGCGCATATTCACGGAGAGCACCCCTCTCTCATGGACATTTATAAGTTAATTTCTAAGCCTATGAATACAATTCAAAAAACGTGGTGGAGGTAAATATTCTTAAAAAGGTCACACTTGTTATTGATTGAGAGACCATGGCTGCCACAGCACGGTCGCAGCAGCAGCAGTCTCGCTCGGTACTTTACCAATGTTTTTATGGGCGATCTGATTTTAATCTGCCGAGAGATGTAACAATCTCTGTTCTGCTAACACTCTGCGTCCTCTCCTGCCTGTACCGCTACCTGTTACTACCCAAGGATAATGGAAGAGCTTACACACCAGCAGCTCGCAGCCAAATCCTTCTGTATTCTAAATTCCTGGATTATGGACATCCACGAGTGCATAAAGTACATAAGAAAGAAAACGGGCCATGGCGGGCGGCGTGTTAACATCAGAGCCGGCGGCGGAGCTAGCAGCGGAGCCAACGGCGGAGCTAGTAGCGGGGCCAACATCGGAGCCAGCGGCGGAGCTAGTAGCGGGGCCCACATCGGAGCCAGCGGCGGAGCTTGCAACGGAGCCATTAACGGAGCTAACATCGCCAGCAACGGACCATGGGATAGTCTCAGAACCACGATCACAAAAAAATAATAATCAACCAAAACCTACGAACTCTAAGGTAACATACAGACAGCAGCAGACAAAACTTTTACAAACTGTGAACCATGCTAAAGTTATCTGGGACCCTGATGTTAAACCAAAGGGGATTTTTGGTGGTCACCTTAATATCAGGAGTCTCCCATCTAAAACAGATCAACTTCAGAAATTATTGTATGACTAACTTGGATTATTTGGGGCTCTCAGAAACATGGTTAAAAAAACATTCCCCAGCAGGCACCTATACCATGCAGAACTACAACATATTTAGGAAAGATCGACCACATAAAAAAGGAGGTGGGGTGATGTTTATGTTAAAAAGACTATCGAATGTAAACAGATAAATCTTCCCCAAAATGATCTGGAGTGTGTGGGAGTTACAATCTGTTTATCCCCCGAAATGTCTTTTAACTTGGTAGTCGTGTATAGGCCACCTAATGAGAAGGATGTATTTTTTGACATGTTTAAAGACGTATTAAAAGCATGTAGCAACAAGGAAACCATCGTAATGGGTGATTTCAACCTAAATTGGGTAGATAAAACGCGGTCCAATAAGCTGAGACACCTTGCTAAACAGTTTAATTTAACTCAAATGATTAAGAATCCAACCAGAATGACTAGCTCCTCAAAAACCTTGTTGGATTTGATTTTCACTAACAGGGCGGAAAGGGTTAATAAAACGTATAATTTAATAACTGGTTTATCGGAACATAATCTCACTCTGGTTTCAAGGAAACTCTCTAAATATCGTTATAGAAACCAAAATAAAGAAGGGTCCTATGTATCAGTTATTCCAAAGCGTGATATGGAGCTTTTAGATGCTGAAATTGAAACTACTATGCAAAATAATTTAGTTTTTGGCTAGGATGTCAGGCAGGCTTGTAGCACTCTTAAAAATGCAATCTCTCAAATTCTTCTAAAATTTACAAAAACAGAGCCACGAAGATTTAAAAGTAAAAAAAAATGACCGTGGTTCAGTGAGCAGCTATGGGTCCTAATGAAGGATAGAGATGCTTCCCTAAAAAAGTATCTCAAGTCAAATTTGAGAACTGACCGATCGATCTTTAAAAGCCTCAGAAACAAAGTAACTGGACAGCTTAGAAGAGCAAAAGCGGACTTCTTTTTGGACATTATTAAACAAGCCAAGGGTAATAGTAAAATTATATGGAAGTGCATAGACAGTCTCTCTGGGAAAGAGCGGACTGGAAATGGACCTATTGAACTTAACATTAACTCTTGTAATACTGGAACACTCACACCTGTAACACAAGTCACCACAAAGGACAGCTCAACTATCGCAAACATGTTCAACGACTATTTTATCTCTTCAATCTTGGAATTGCGTAAATCCTCAAGTACGGAGTTGCATTTAACATCATCTGCAGCCTCTATTAGGGCTGTGGCGACGCGGCCCACAGATGGACTACAATCCATTTCTGTGGAAGCTCTAGACTTTGAATCTGTGAGCGAAGGCGAGGTTAATAAAATAATTTCCTCACTTTCAAATTTGAGAGGCAAAGATTGTTGGGGATTTGATTCACTCCTTCTAAAAAAACAAAGAGGTTTTCACTGGTCCAATCACGTACATAATGAACCAATCACTAAGAGAATGTGTGTTCCCCTCCTCTTGTAAATTTGCAGTTGTTACGCCCATTTTTAAGGCAGGTAACAAAAAGGAATTGATAAACTATAGACCAATTAGTATACTTCCTACTGTCTCAAAAGTTATCGAAAAAATTGTTGCAGAACAGCTGGTGGAACACCTTGACAATAGAAATATGTTACACCCCATGCAATTTGGCTTCCGATGAAAACATTCCACCGATACAGCCTGTTGTTATCTTCTTGAGGTGATTAAGTCCAATCTAGACAAAGGAGGGGTGGTTGGGGCCATTTTTCTGGATCTGCGTAAGGCTTTCGACACAGTTAACCACTCAGTGCTGCTAACAAAACTGTTGAATTTTAATCTTTCAGCAAACACTATTAGTTGGTTTCAATCTTACCTTGCAGATCATTTTCAGTGCGTAAAAATAAATGATAAGATCTCACCTTTTAGCCCCTGCACTACTGGTGTACCACAGGGGTCTATCTTGGGGCCATTGCTTTTTACTTTGTTTACTCACAGCTCTGATGCAAATCTTGTCGCAGATAAATTATCTATAGCTATGAATAAAGTAATAGAGTGGTTGAACAAGTCGAGCCTTACGCTGAATTCAGAAAAAACTGTCACTATGTATTTTTCCAACAAAAGAAAGAGTGTTCTTCCAAATATCTATGTGGATGGTTTGATGATCAAAAATGTCCAAGAAATCAAGTACCTAGGTGTAATGCTGAATCCTATCCTTAATTTTAAAAACCATGTTAAAAAGGTTTACCGCGTTCTGAAATTTAACATCGCCAACTTCTAGCACATCAGGAGCTCTTTGTCATTGGAAGCAGCTAAATCATATCTTAATGCAATGATTATATCTCATATCATGTATTGTGTGTCTTCATGGTCTCAAGCTAAAACAACGGTTTTAAACCCCCTTAGATCGTTGTATAACCAGGCTCTGAAAGTCCTGGATAAAAAGCCTCGCCGGTACCATCACTGCAATATACTTGAAAAATACAGCAGACTAAGCTTTGACAATCTGATTAGGTATTCCGATGTACGTTTGGTTCATAAGATTCTTAATGATACTGCCCCACCCCCCCTAAAAACATATGTACAGCTTCGCTCACAGCTAACCAACAGAGCATTAAGATCTGTGTCCAGGGAAGACTGCAATGTTCCTAAGAGAAAGTCTGCCTTCTCTCAATCAGCCTTTTCCTACAAAGCCACTAAAGAATGGAATGGGCTCCCAGACAATCTAAAGAACAATGCAGATTTCCACAGTTTTTCACGGGCAGTTAAAGACTGGCTTTTAGATCAACAGTCCTGCTCGCACTAAAAGTACCAGATGGGTACTTGGCCATCAGGTGTTACCCTCGCGGGTATCGTCTGATGGCCACCACATCACCACATTATTAGTGTTAAAAACTATTGTATCTATGTGCTAATTATGTATAGCTACAAAATAATTATGAAAACTGTTGCACTTTGTCATTCTGCACTTTATGAATGCAACTGGCACTTTTCATCTGCACTTTTACTATATATTGCATGTTTATTGTCTGTTTTGTATTTTAATTAACTCTGCTATGTATTTTAATTGTATTTTTGATTGTATAAGGACTACAGATGGAAATTAGCATTGTGCTAAATCTGGGGCAGTCATCTTTTTAATGTACCTGTCCGTTGTCCTTTTAAATAAATAAATAACTAACTAACTAACTAGTAAACATGTTTTTGCATATGGAGCAGCTGTAAAAATTACACAGGGTGGCTTTAAATTTGGCCTTGGTAAACATGATTTTTTCAGGTATCTCCAACTCCGTCATTATTTTACAAAAGAATTACAAAGCAATATATCAGTAAATGTTCCAGATCTGGTCCAATTACTCTTAAACATCTATAATCAGGGTCATATTTTTTGGTCATGCCCTGGAATTTTACAGTTTTGGTGTTAGCACTGATGCGTCTTGTCTTGGGTATACAAGTTGACAACTCTTATTTCCCTATTTCTAAGTGTTCCACCAACAGGTCTAAAGTGACATTTATCTTTTTAGGATAATTCTTGCAGCTGGGAAAAAGACAATAACAAAATGTTGGCTTAGAAAAGAGGCTCCATCTTTGAGTCACCTGACACAGATAATGAACCAAATAAGAATAATGGAAACAATGACTTTTAACCTTCATCTACAACGTCAGATGAAGGTTTCATCGTTATTTCACAATGTAAGTTTGTGTAAGCTCTCAGTCGTACAGGGATTAGTCAAAGCAAAGGAAGGTTTCTCACCCATCATCTGTACTTCTTAGCAAGTTTTCCCGACGTTTCGTCCTCAAACTAGCGGACTTCTTCAGGGAATGAATTCTCGGAACGCGCGTTGGAGATTTATAACCTATGGGTGTGGTTAGCCACACCCTAATCCTGATACTAACTCATAAACAATCTAAGGTCTGCTTGATGTAGAAGGGAGCAGGTCTAACGACCCTGCTGAGGCTAACGACCCTAACTCCTTAGCATGTCACAGACCTATTGTCTGCTGGGATGCTCAAGTGGAGTGCAGGTCTCACCCCTCCTAACTCATTAGCATGTCACTGACCTTGTCCCAAACAACGCCCTAACTTGGGACAAGGTCAGTGACAGTGAGGATTAGGGTGTGGCTAACCACACCCATAGGTTATAAATCTCCAACGCGCGTTCCGAGAATTCATTCCCTGAAGAAGTCCGCTAGTTTGAGGACGAAACGTCGGGAAAACTTGCTAAGAAGTACAGATGATGGGTGAGAAACCTTCCTTTGATTTCACAATGTAATTTGTGAAATATGATCTGCTATTTGAAATAATGTCATCTGCTGTATATGTACAGTGGGGCAAAAACTATTTAGTCAGCCACCGATTGTGCAAGTTCTCCCACTTAAAATAAGGACAGAGGTCTGTAATTTTCATCATAGGTACACTTCAACTGTGAGAGACATAATGTGAAAAAAAATCCAGGAATTCACAATGTAGGATTTTAAAAGAATTTATAAGATACTTGGAAAACTCCTTCCACTTGAGAAAAGGGGGGGGGGGGGACCTTCTCCACCACCTGAAGGGGGGAGGCAAGGGGCCACCTTTTTTTCCAGGTCGAGCACCCTGGGCCTCGGATTTGCAGGTTGCTGATATATTCACAAGCCGCATACACTCGGCTGCCAAAAAAAAAACGTTCCCAAGTTTTGCTTGTTGGAAGATTCCTGGGTATTCGTTGGGACGGCCAAATGGGAAGGGAGACAATTTTCATCCGCCAAAAATAGTAGAGATGGGAAAAATCCTTGTGGTTTACGGAACCGGGGGAACCCCCTCCAAGGCCCCCCTGGCTGCGCTAGGGGAGGATTTTTTCTTTGGGGTTCATTATATGTTACAAAGT